CTCTCTCTCTCTCTCTCTCTCTCTCTCTCTCTCTCTCTCTCTCTCTCTGTCTCTCTCTCTCATTGGTAAAGATAATTGAAAAGATGGGTCACTGAAGATGGCATATAAATACCATTTATACGGGAGAATGATATCCGAAACACACATCAAATCATTTAATTCGTGAATTCATCCAAAAGAATATAATTGAATACGAGATTAGATTTGACGAACAAAACCAAATACTAAATACTAAATACAAATGAGGAAAACAATTGCATACAAGTGTTCACAACTGACAAGTGATTGAGTTCTGAAATAACAACTGTTAATACATTGAATAAAAATATTACTATTCAGCCATTGATAGTAAAGTAAAGATCACACAAAAGCATAATTTTGTGATTTAATTTAAATCTCGATTTAAGTACAACTTATCCGCCGATAATTGAACGCAAAAAAAACTTGTGATAAACTTTTTGGTGAGAAACAGAAACGAGAAGTGTTTGCAATGGTATTGATTGGCAAATGAGTGGCACTTATACTGACATCTAATGGCATCGCTTCGCAAACATTGGGTTCAAAACAGACATAAAAACACATTTCGTAATGAGTTTTGAATGCAGTTGTGATGCGAGACTTGTGTTGAGTGAGAGTTAGAGTTAGCGTTGAGTTGTATTGAATCGAGCGCTCAATACAGAAGTGACTTGTCTTCAAACACATCCACCGATTGGACCGATAAATGGTGTCTAAGAGCCACAGATGTCGGCCACACATGTCTTCGTGAGTCTCGCCATACGGTTAGTGCCATTGATATGTGTTATCACAGTTTGTGCGGCCAAACCAATGCTGGCCACCACTACAGCCGTGGCCAGAGTCCACACGTCATCGCCAGTGGACACACAACAGCTGATCCAAGCGCTCACTGAAGACAATTGGTTTCATCGGTTGTTAATTAATTTATTGAGTTATGCAGTGATTGTGATTCCGTCGGCGCTCACCGTATATATGGTTAGGAAACGATTGTGTATTCATTTCGGTATGTATTGCAAGTGTCACCGATTGGATCAATTCATGTCATTAACCATTTCTTATATGCGATTGAATCACGTGAACAGTTGCCGATAATTATTTCGTCAAACTCTTTGTTTTTGGCAAAAATGAGACAATTGTTGACAACAATTACTCTGACGAAGATTTGGGTGATTTGTCCACAAACGAGAAGTTATTGCCGACGAGTCTTCGGGACATTGAGCCCAAACCGTCGACATCCAAGTCTATGCCCACCAATCCCTGGGCATCGATACGGACCCGACGGGTGACACTTCTTCTCTACTGTTTCCTCGGTCTTCAGGTCTCGTACTTGAGTTGGGGTTTACTTCAGGAGAAGATAATGACCACCGAATACGTCATCCAAAGCCAGTTCTTCACCGAAGGACACAAACATTTGGTTACGATCTCTGACCGGCACTCAAATGGTATTTAAATTTTTAATTGTTTAAATATTTAATTTATTTTTGGCGTAAAATAAACACATTTTAAGCTTTTATTAATTTGCTTTGAATTATAAAAATAGTCATTAATGTGTTTCCTGTGTATTAAAATAGCAATAATTGTTTGCAATGAAAACACAGGTAAAACTTTAACCCCTTTTATCGTTCACCAAAACTGAGGAGAGATTTACCGTATATTTTATTTAATGATTAATTTTATTTTTGTTAGTTTTTGGCATTAATTAGTAATTGAGTGGAAAATTATATGTTTTGTTAGTGTTTTGTTTCCAAAGCTGTGTCTANTCCTATACTTACAGCTGCCTTAAAGTAAGTGCAGGCCCCGGGATCCATAACCGACAGTCCCGTCCATTTGGCAAAGTTGCGAATCTGTGAGGCCATGAGAAACATAAGCCAATCCCTGAGCGATGGCTCCACAATCTTCTGGGCATAAGTGAGGAAATCACACTTTTTTTGTCCGTAAAGCTCTAATTTAGTGCCAAAAGCGCTCTGAGATATCACATCCATTGTTACGTTTGCCATCATTGAGTTTAACATTATCTCTTGATTGCCTTTCTTTGCATTTGATACCAACTGATCCTCTAATCGCTTCACACAATCAATGATTATGGGATGCATTGAACGCATTTTGCCACTTGAAAATGTGGGACTAATCTGATTACGATTATAATACAGGCAATTATTTAAAAAATACAATTATTTCTAGATTAGTCAAACTTGTCTTACAGTGGACCGCATATTCTTCCACTCCTCTCCCGACATATTAAACAGTGATTTATCGAAAAACTGATCGCCAGTTACTATAGACTGTCTGTCAGTAAATAAGTGAAAGTCTTTAATAGCAATATCTTTGACGAGTTGTGGGTCTGATATCATTAGGAATGGTGTCGTTCCGAAAAAGCCGCTAAATATTAGTCAAAATAATTATTAATTGAATTATATTTATATTAGTTTTGAATAGTTTTCAAACCCATATATTTTGCCATATTTTTTGCTGTTTTCCTGAACAACGATATGAAGTGGTTTAAAAAAGTTTTGATAAAATGTTCCCAAGAATATGATTGGTTTTGGACCATTCACTCCACGGCTTCGCCAGTAATTGAAATTTCTTGTCAAATAACTGTTAAAAATATACAATTAATGTTACATTTGGTATATAAACGTTATTGTAATATAATTTAAATAAATATAAATAATTATTACAATTACTTACAAATATAATAGTCCCAGTAGTGTAATTGCCAAAATCAACGAATTAATACCAAAAAACATTTTGTTTGTATTGGTTATAATTTTATATATTTTTATTTTCAATATTAAACTACTATTTGTGTTAACGAACAACACTTTGAATATTAGCAACAATTTTTCTCGGCTTTTATATTCGTCAAAAGTTTTATCTTATTTTTACTATTATTCTATCATTACATCTATTCATAGGTACATCAAAATAATATTTTTTATAAAGAATTATAAAGAGTTTATTGCTGTTTATCATTGATTAGTACAATTCGGTCAGATTTCCCTCATCGACACGATTATAGTTATCATTTGTTATGTCACTAATATTGATAAGAAGTTATGCAATCGTTTGACAGCTTATTTATTCATATGTTGTATAACTGACTTTTTAATCATATAAATCAATTTCAATAAACACAGTTTTATTTCAATTAAGTATGCATTCAATATTTGTTCGTGTTATTATTTTGATATAATCATGATATTTATTAAACATATTTGTTAATGCATGCATTACTATATCTATTTATAAATTTCTCAAATAATTAGATATATATTCCATTGTCTTAAAGATAGGTTGAGAATAATGCGATTAGTTTGCTTATAATGTATTATAAGAAACTGCTAACAAATACAAATATACTCCAATATTTAAATCATATGAATTTACATTTTTATTCTCTCTCTCTCTCTCTCTCTCTCTCTCTCTC